AAAAAAAAAAAAAAACTCACAGGGCTGGGCACAGTGACTTACGCCTGTAATCCCAGTACTTTGGGAGGCTGAGGTAGGTGGATCACCTGAGATCAGTAGTTCAAGACCAGCCTGGCCAACATGGTGAAACCCCGTCCCTGTTTAAAAAAAAAAAACCACTCACAGTGGGGACTGGAATCCAAGTGGGGTTTTGTAGGGCCATTGGGGTCCCACAGGGTCATGGGGTGTCCCTTATGCTGTGTTGACGTGCAGGATCTGAGAAGTAAAGAGACAGGACACTGAAGAACTGGTGAAGAGCATCTGGACTCGGGGGGCCACACTACCTGTGAGTGGAGATCAATAACGGCCCCCAAATGCCCAAGAGCATCTGTATTTATTAGGTACAAGCAAGGGACGGAGTCATGAGTGAGGTCATCATCTCTAGGCTTAGTAATAGGGCAAACATAATCACATGAGTCACAATCGAGGGGGCCACCCCATTATGTCACCTGGACAGAGAGTTGGGCCGTGCGCAGCAGGGGGCATGCCATGCACAGTAGTAGAGGGTCGTGTGCAAAAAAGGGGTCCACCCCCATTAGGTCACTGAGGCAAGGAGGTGGGCTACGTGCAACAGGTGTCGTGCACAACACTTCTTATCTGGGGGCTGGAGACTTCAAAGGATTTCTAATAGAAGGATGTATAAGCCTAACGCAGTGGGAGCTGACAGACTCGTGCTCTTAAGATATTTATGGGAGGATGATTTGAGCTAGCACAGAAGCGAGAAAAGACTGACAGGGTGTACAGCCGCCATGACCCGGTCACACCAGAGGGGTTCTTCTCCCTCAGTTACTTCCAGGATCTCAGACCTGAAGCCTACTTTCCGCAGGAACTGGATGCAAGGTGCTACAATTCCTTTATCAGGAGGAGAGACACTTGCTCCAAGCCTGCCATACAGAGTATGCTCTTTCAGGCAGGGACGCCACCGCCTGGGTCTTTGGTTCTCGTCCTGGTCTGGCTGTTTTCCCATGTACTGCTTCTGTGCTGTGACTGCTCTAGGCATTCCTCCTGTTACAGACTACTATATGGTTCTATGGAAGGATTCTATAAATCAGCACTAAATGTGTCGGTACAGCTCCGACTGCAATACCTATGTGATTATATAGAAAGATTATATAGAACTAAGTATGCTAGATATAAGTATTAGGTATGATTATATAAACTAGATCTATGTAAGCAGTAAGTTATACTTCAGGCACTAATTCTATACACTAATATATGATTATATATGAAGGATTATATAAAGGAAATAGCTGAATAATAACACTATAAACTAAGATATTCTTCAGGCATTAATTGTGCCTGGGGTCTGGACAGTTCTCCTTCTTCAGTGCCCATGGGGGTGTTACCCACAGGGTTTTCCACATAGGCCCCTAACTATTTCACCTGCTGCAGCTCGGCCCTATAACCTGAGCTGTGAGCCTCCACATCGCTGAGGCAGTCCCCCATCTGGAGCTGTTTCTGATGAAACTTCCGGGACCGGTGTCAGCAGCTGGTTCTCCTTAAGGATCATGCATATTAGCGCAAAAGAAATGGTCCAATTTGGCTGGACACAGTGCCTCGTGCCTGTAATCCCAGCACTTTGGTAGGCTGAGGTGGTTGGATTGCTTGACGCCAGGAGTTTGAGACCAGCTTGGGCAACATGGTGAAACTGTGTCTCTACAAAAAATACAAAAATTAGCCTGGCTTGGTGGCATGTGCCTGTAGTCCCAGCTACTTGGGAGGCTGAGGCAGGAAAACCGCTTGAACCCAGGAGGCAAAGGTTACAGTGAGCCGAGATAGTGCCACTACACTCCAGCCTGGATGTCAGAGTGAGACCCCATCTCAAAAAAGAAAGAAAGCAAGAAAGGAAGGAAAGAAGAAAGGAAGGAAGGAAGGAAGGAAGGAAGGAAGGAAGGAAGGAAGGAAGGAGAATCGCTTCAGCCCAGGAGGTGGAGGTTGCAGTGAGCTGAGATCACACCATTGTACTCCACCCTGGGCAACAAAGAAAGATTCTGTCTCAAAAAGAAAAAAAAGAAAAATAGACACACTGAGTGCCCATTGCTGTGCTGAATCATTTTTCACAAAGTATCCCATTTAGTAGTGACAGGCGCCAGCAAGCTAGGACCAGGTACACACCCACCTCACAGATAAAGAGGCAGAAGCACAGAGGGTCGGTCAAATGCTCATGACCTCAGCAAGTATCAGGGCCAAGGTTTAAGCCCAGGGCAGTCTGACTCCAGAATCTGAGCTGTCAACTATTACGCTGGACCCCTGTCTTGAGTCACCTCTCCCCTGAACCCCCAGCCCTGGATACACACCCCTGGACCTCTTCCCTGGACCCCTGCTTTGTACCAGAATTTCCAGGGTCCAAGGAGCTCACACTTTGTAGAGACAAGAAGGCCTAGAACTGTCTTTCAGGGATTGGGAGCAACATGGTGGGTGCAAGGCTATAAAGACCAGGCGGTTTGCCCCAGACACCAGCAGAGCTACAGCTCACAGGAGGGCCCCCTGGCTGTCAAAATAAGAAGCAGGCTGAGCAACACCTGAGGATCCTGGCAGAAGATGCAGGCAGCGGGACTTACTGGGTTCCCACCCCGTACCAGATGCTTGATTGACAAGATGCCGTTATTAGACCCATTTCAGAGAAGAAAACAAGGCTCAGAGCAGAAGAGTGGTCTGTGCAGGGTCACCTGGCCAGAGGTAGGGCTGGAGTTCAGCTCAGCTTCTCATTGCACTTCACTGAGGATGCCTGCTGGGAGGTCAAGGTCAGGGAGGAACCGAGCTCTGTGGGCAAAGGAGAAACAGGATGAACCCAGGGAGCTGAAAGATCCAGAGGTGTGCAGAAGCTGGGGAGAGGCATCTGGGGCTACTACATGAGAGGAGGGAAGTGGGCACCTGCCTGCTGTG